GCAGTCAGGAAATACGGAGACACGTTGTGTTGGGAAAATCTGCAGGTCTAAGGTGTGTCTGATTCAGACCATAGTCTTTCTGATCACTTGTTATGCATTGCTATGCAATGAATAAAGATGACAGTAGAATTGATGCTTTTGAGCTGTGGTGTTGGAGAAGAGCACGCAACATCCTGTGGACAGGCAAAATAACAAATATGTCTTTGAGAGAGTGCAGCCAGAGTGTCCTTTGGAGGCAAGAATGATGAGGCTTCACCTCACATAGTTTGGCCATGTTGCTAGGAGGGGCTATTTCTTGCAGAGGGACATGGTGCTGGGAAAGGTGTAGGTCAGGGAAGGAGAGGAAGACCCTCAGTCAGGTGGATTGGCACAGTGATTGCCACAATGGCACAGGATAGAATATGGTACAGGTCTTTCAAAGGGTCGCTATGTGTCATACTCAACAGCACCTAACAAGAACAACAAATTTCATCTTTTAGGAAAGTTTTAAATTTACAAAAAAATTGGTGAGATAAAATTAGAGTTCAAATTTCATACTTTTCTCCCTTATTAACAGTTAACTGTAGCATTAATTTTTTTCTTTAGCATGGTGCATATGTTACAACTGCTGAACCACATTAAAAGACATTAATTATTAAACTAGCTAAAATTAAGGATCATTATTTGTTTATGTTTATGGATTCAGACAAATGCATACAGTTATGTATTCCTTATTAAAATATTGTAGGGAATAGTTTTTCTGCTTTAAATATTTCTTGTGTCCTACCTACTCATTCTTTCTCCTCTCCTCTGTAGCCGCTGACCATCATCATTTTCTACTAGTTCTGCTTTCCCCAGACTCTTGTTCAGTTGGAATTATACAGTGTACTGTCTTTTCAGAATAGTTAATTTTATTAAATAATGTTTAATAACATTAATATGTTATTCCATTTGGTTTTTTGGTGAAGGTTCATATCCTATTTTTTATTATTTCTGTATAATACCTTGTAAACATTTGGTAAAGAAAATTAAGTAAACACAATTTATTCAATGATATTTTGGGAAAAGAAACTATAGCATTTTGGGTGGGTTCTTGTAATCTGAGGTGATTGAATAAACTGAAAGAAGCATTTATCGCAATCTTTGTATATATATTTTTAAAATCATTTGGATAAAACTTGGTACTTTGGTTACTGGATTGTATAATAACACCGTGTTTAGATTTGTATGAAACTATGAAATGTTTTCAAAAGTAATGAATGAGTTCTTCACTTCTACCAGCATTGGATGAGAGCTTCTATTGCTCCATATCCTCAAATCGTAGTGTAGAGAGCAGTTTTCATGTTATTCATTATATGAGTTGTGTAGGGAATTTCGCTTTTTGTCTTCTTTTGCAATTTCCTAATAACATATATAGGTAATTTCATGCTAGAGAGAGAAAAAATGTAGATGTTGTCGATGATTTTATTTTACTTGATTCTACAATCAACAACCATGATAGTAACAATCTACAAAAGAATTGTGTTGCATTGGGAAATCTGCTATTAAGGACCTCTAAGAAGTGCTAAAAAAATCAACAATGTCAGCTTAAAGACTAAGGTGTGCTTGATCAAAGTCATGGTATTTTTCAATTGTTTCTTATGTTTTTGA